CCCCAAAACCCCAAAACCCCGTGAAGTAGAGAAATTTTCAATTGATGAGATAAGATTATAGATTGCATCCCTAATAAATCTTAATTTAAAGATACCAATTCAAGGAATCAACTACTATGGTAGAATCAGCATAAACTTTCGATAAATTGCCCTCAGTTCAATAATTGGTGAATCATTACAACACAACATTAAGTCAGACACATCTTAGAGAGCTGCTTAATGATGAAAATAGAAATCAACATTTAAGAGCAAGCTTGTAAAACCAAGATGGCAGTGAAGTTATTCTAGATTTGACACACGTTAAAGTAGATGAGGCAGCAGTCAAACTTCTACACCAAGTGACCTCAGACGTTTAGCTTCATGAAAAGATTGAGGGTATGTTCACAGGTTAGAAGCTAAACAATACGGAAAAGAGATCAGTCCTTCATGTTGCATTAAGAATGAGAGAAGATGAAACTTTAATAGTTCCAGACTCAACTGAGGGAGATGCAGTCAAGAATGTTCATGAAGTACTCAAGAGAATTCATGCTTTTTCAGAACTAGTTAGATCTGGCTAAGTCAAAGGATATTCTGGCAAGACTCTAAAAAATACTCTAATCCTTGGTATTGGTGGTAGTTATCTTGGGCCTGAGTTCGTATTTGAAGCATTAAGGCAAGATGCTTCATCAAAATAGGCAGCTGATGGCAGATAACTTAAATTCTTAGCTAATGTTGATCCAATTGACTTCAACAGAGCAATTTAAGGTCTTGATATTGAGGAGACTTTGGTTGTTATTAACAGCAAAACATTCACTACAGCTGAAACAATTTTGAATGCAGTTACTGTGAAGAACTATATTATCAACCATTACAAAAACCTACACCCAGATGTTGAAGATACTCAGTCATTTGTCTAGGCTCATTTCTGTGCAGTATCAACAAACCTACCTCTAACATCATAGTTCGGTGTGGCTGACGATAGAGTTTTTGGTTTTTGGGATTGGGTTGGAGGACGATTCTCAGTTTGCTCTGCTGTTGGTGTGCTTCCCTTATCCTTACACTATGGATATGAAAATGTTAGAGATTTCCTGAGCGGAGTTAAATCTATTGATGATCATTTCAGAAATACTCATGATCTTTCATAGAACTTGCCAGTTCTACTTGGGCTTTATGGATTCTACAACACTCATGTTGCTGGCCATAATACTAGATCTATTCTCCCATATTGCTAATCATTACTTAAATTCCCAGCTCACATCCAACAATTAGATATGGAAAGTAATGGAAAAAGTGTGACTAAAGAGGGAGTCAGATTTACTGATGGAGCTCAAGCAGGTCCTATCATTTTTGGAGAACCAGGTACAAATGGATAACATAGTTTTTACCAATTGATGCACTAAGGTAGAGTGATTCCAGCTGAGTTCATTGGATTCTCATAATCTTAAACCCCTATTCACATCGATGGCTATCCTGTCTCAAATCATAATGAGCTAATGTCAAATTTCTTTGCTCAACCTGATGCCCTTGCTCTCGGAAAAACTCTGGAGCAATTAAAGGCTGAAGGTGTCCCAGAGTTTCTTTATTAGCATAAATTATTCACAGGTGACAGACCCTCATTGTCTATACTTTTCACTGGAAAACTAACAGCATTTGCATGCGGTTAATTGCTTGGACTTTACGAGCATAGAGTTGCCGTTGAAGGATTTATATATGGAATCAATTCATTTGATCAATGGGGAGTTGAGTTAGGAAAAGTACTTGCCAAAGATGTAAGAAATGTATTCGCTGATAAAGAAAAGGGTCAGGATGTAGATGTCAAGTCAAAATTTAACCCAGCTACAGCATATCTCCTAGAAAAGTATCTCGAAAAGATGTGATAAATCTATTTTAACTAAGTTATTTATGCAGTTTCATTCAACAATGTTAAAACTCAATATTCTAAATAGGGGTTTTGGGGTTTTGGGGTTAAATTTTGACTTGACAT